AGAGCCTACGGGCCAGCCCAATAAGCCTCAAGGCCATACAGTGAATCTAAGAATTCCCCTCAACTCAAAGACCAGTTCATATAGCTAAAATCAAGGCAAAAAGAACTGCAGGAGAAACGAAACCATGAGATTTCCTCCTTATACATACGTGCGGAATAATACAAGCTCCATTTACAAACATGATTTGAAAATGCTATATACAGGATCGGAAAGCGAAACCTACATCCCCCTGGGGTATATGGACCATTGGCCTCATCTTGGCTATCCTCGGCATCGGACAGAAATAACCGAGCACCACGCTCATCCGTCCTTGCCTGTGCCAACTCTTTCGAGAGGACAAATCCCCGAGCACGGATCTCCTCAAGGGTTTTCCTCAAAGACTTACTTCGGGCATATTCTTTACTCCTATCTTCGTGGTCAAGGTTCTTTCTCAGCTTAGCTTGAGCACCGTCAACATCCTTCAAATGGACTGCCACTTTCTGGTTAGCCTTAGTTCGGCTCGTTACGGCTTCAACCTGGGCATCCACAGCCTCGACTTTTATCTTCAAGAGCTTAGTCTCGAGCTTCGTAATCATATCTATTCGAACCAAGCTATTATTATGAGCTAAGCGAAGTTGAACCTCAAGGGCGGAAGCCTTAGCCAGAACACCTTCTCCATCGAAGCCTGGGGGTCCGCCTGAGCCTTTACCTCATCATACTTGCGCTTGGCTCGGCCAACCTCGTCCCGAAGGCGCTCCAAGCCCTCCGCCTTTTCTACAACTAAAATAAATGGAACGTTAGCCTTAGGAGCTAGAAGGAGAAACACACTTTCGTTCGGAACAAAAACTACCTGCACCTTTAAGTAGCTCTCATAATTCAAGCTCCGACTCGCCTCATACCGTAAGTATGCTACCTCGACTTCCCTTTTATCACAAAGGAGCCTCAGGGATTTCTCCTCATCCAGAGCTTTCTTCAGCCTAGCCTAACGATGAAGCATCTCTGACTTAAGCTTGTCGAAGGCCTACAGAAGAAAACTCAGTAAGGAAGGGAAGGTGCGAAACTCGAAAGGCCTGTGCCAAAAACTCACCACAGAATGAAGCCGTTGTGCTTCCTCGAAGGCTGAATGCACATATGCTAACCTAGCTCCCTCAACTTCGAAAGAGTCGACCCTGGCTGAGGCACGATCGCTCGGCGCATGCAACCCTGGATTTTGGGTATCCCTCGAACTACCTTCGATGGAAAAAGAAGATGGTAGTGGAGTAGAAACCACTTTTCCGAAACCAGGAATCGCAGGCGCGGCAGGTTCAGTCAATACTTCCACTCCAGGCCCCCGATTCAGGTTTGCCTTGTTTTGAGCACCGTCGCCCTGCAAAGGTATCTCTTGCTTATTGTTATCATTATTTAGCCCGGAAGCTAGCGATTCTTCTTCCCCCCAAGGGGACGCGGCCTCACCTCGGAAGACTCCCCGATGCCTATAATAACTAGGTTAGCACGCAGAAAGAGAAAATGCTCTTTCAACTAAAAGAAGGGAACAGAACGTACGACGCATACCGTGGTGTTTCGCCTCAAACCTACCCTTAGATAAAGCTCGCCACTTACGCTCATCATAAGTCGAGTGGATCATCAACTTCCGAACCCAATCCGGCAGGTTGAGAATCTCGCCCGACATTTACGAGATTGCTACGGAAAAAGAAAAGAAAGCGCATTTATGAAGTTGGCCTTTGCCATAAACAAAACTAAGAAGGCACGAGTGTATCACTTACGTGTATAATTCCATTCTTTAGGGAATGGCATAAACTCCACGGGGATAATATCAACGGTCCGTACTTGGACGAATAGGCTCATCCACTCCTGATCTCCACCTTCTTCATCATCAACGACGAAAGGTGCGGTCAACCGGCATCGTAAGGTTAGCAGGCCTCGATGATGAAAAGACCGGTACAGCCTGACAAGATGGCTAAGCATAAATTCAAGCCCTGCCTTCTCCACAAAGAACCTCATCATCAACACTATCCGCCAAAATGACGGGTGAATCTGCGCCAAGGTAACCTGGTATTTTTGACAGAAGTCAAGCACAACCCCATCAATGGGGCCCAGCATGAAAAGATACATGAAAACATTCAGAAACCCCTCGACACAGTCCGTAATACTCTCATCCGGGAAGGGTGCCTGCAGTACTACCTTTTCCCCCCATCCATAGTCTTTCCTCACAGACTCGAAGCGTCCCTCTCCTATCAAAGAAGTCATCTTCAAGGTATGCTCCCATTGGTCCAGAGCGTCGGGGCATTTTTCTGGGGGAAAGTCCCCTCCCAAAGCAAAACGCCTTGAGCCAACAAGGTAAGAACCGGAGGCTGAACTCTCTCCTCCCTGCCGAACAGATCCTGGAGTAGGAGTCATGACTACATCAAAATTAAGGAGCTGGAGCAGGAACATAGGCCAAAGCGTCAATGCTGAAATTATGAAAGGCCTAACGCAGGAAAAAAGGGTACCTTACCAAAATGGTGGAATCCCCAAAAGCACGGAAGCAACCCTGTATATGGAAAAAGCGGCGACGATCCGCCTATCTCAGAGGCCGATTAAACTGATGGCCAAAATCACTTTGGGAAGATGTGCTGGCAAAATCGCCTCGGTCGTTTTACAGCCGTATCGTCCATTTGACGAACGCCATACGACATTTTGAGGTCGGAGACCCCCGCACCAAACAAATCCTGAGATGGTACCCGATCTCGAAGACCTCCTCCAAAAAGAAGTTAGGCTCCAGGAAGCCTTTGGCATCATCGCCAGTCCCGAGATGGTACCCGATCTCGAGGACCTCCTCCAAAAAGAAGTTAGGCTCCAAGAAGCCTTTGGCATCATCGCCAGTACCGAGATGGTACCCGATCTCAAGGACCTCCTCCAAAAAGAAGTTAGGCTCCAAGAAGCCTTTGGCATCATCGCCAGTACCGAGATGGTACCCGATCTCAAGGACCTCCTCCAAAAAGAAGTTAGGCTCCAAGAAGCCTTTGGCATCATCGCCAGTCCTGAGATGGTACTCGATCTCGAGTACCTCCTCCAAAAAGAAGTTAGGCTCCAAGAAGCCTTTGGCATCATCGCCAGTCCTGAGATGGTACTCGATCTCGAGTACCTCCTCCAAAAAGAAGTTAGGCTCCAAGAAGCCTTTGGCATCATCGCCAGTCCTGAGATGGTACTCGATCTCGAGTACCTCCTCCAAAAAGAAGTTAGGCTCCAGAAAACCATTGGCATCATCGCCAGTCCCGAGATGTTTACCAATGCGGGCTTAAAACTCCACTCATGTGGGCTTGGCCTCGGGGTACCATCTAAACCCGGGCAGTCCCTCATCCGGGATATATCTATAAATGCCTTAAGGTTATCTACCCTAAGTTCAAGACAAATTTCCAAATGGCCCGAGTTTGAGCGAACCTCCGCTCGGGGACTGTTCTCGAAAGCCTAAAGGTAGTCTCTATTCCCGAGTTCCGAGCAAGTCCCCCCTCGAGGATTATCGCGGGGTCTAAAGGCTAAGTCTCAATTTGGGGGTTTGAAGCCCTACTTTTATTCAACTCGAAGTCAGGGTCCCGACGACCCGATGTTATCAGTCCAACTCGGGCTCGGTATAAGGGATAACAAAGGGTTATGAAGGGAGCCATGTTAACCAATTAAAGGACAAAAAAATACTCACACCTGGGCTCGATATTTGCACCAACTGATGGAGTCATGCACTCAGAATCTACACATGCACAAATAAAGGGAAAAATAGTATACATCAGAGACAAATTAAAGAAGCAATCTTTTCATTCATAAACATTCGATTACAAAAGCCCACAAGGGGTCCTTACATATGATTACAAAAGCCCATGAGGGGTCCTTACACAGAAACAAGGAAGCAAAAAGGTACATATGCATGAAAATCCTAGAGTCTAATCTATTCTCGAGGGTTCATCTTCGGCGTCAGTATCTTCTACCACCACCTCCTCGGGGGTCTCATCTCGGTCCCCCAGAATGGTATCTCCGAGGGTGAAGATGAAGAAGAGGAAAGTGATGGAGGAGAGGAAAGTGACGCAGAAGAAGCAGAAGGGGATGAAGAAGTGGCTGGGTGAAAAATCTGGCTAGTATGGGTCTCGCCAGTACCACCATTGTAAAGCCACTTCTTGAGATGTCACACCGGTGCGGGGTGCAACAGTTAGTAGATAGTACCACCTCACTCCACGGAAATCAAGAGAAGTGAGGCGCCGCATCGGGTAGGCGGGGGAGGTGAGCAGCGATGTAGAGTCCGACCACCCCCCTGAGCAGCGGTGTAGAGTCCAAACATTTCCATGAGTTAGAGGGAATCGACCTACCTATCTCCTCATCTTGAGCCAACAATGACAGCAGTAACAACATCAATGATAATAACAACATCAACGAGTTGATGTGATCTCTCTCGGTAGGAAAAAGCCCAAGGAAAGGGCCATGGCATGGCCGATGAGAACGCCGCCATTTAACCTTAAGGCCATGGGCCTCAAACATGGTGGGTAACAATGGAGGAGGATGGTGAGAAAAAATGAAGGAAAGATATTGGAAGGCACTTGAATAAAAAGTTTGTTCCAGGAGTGTCACGACCTAAATTAGGATCATGACCGACACTTAGGAGCAAGTGCTCCCAAGTAAGCCTCATCGGTATTTTACAGAAAATCAGACAAAGTTTTCCCTGTTTTTAGACTATCCCAAAATTTTTCCCTATCTCAAATCAATAACCAAACATCCTAATAGAAATTCAATTGACAACGACTTTATTAATTAACCAAAATAAATATCTACCTTTAATAGTCCACCCATTAACAACTAGAAATACTACTTTATCTCCAAATTTGATAAGAATGGGCGATACTCAACATAAGTCTATAATAACGAAGAAATACTCAAGACACTAAAAGAATGACCATGGAGTGACTCTAAGAGTTCAAAGAAAAGAGTATAACAATAAATAAAATTTCCGCCCACACGAACAAGTGCGAGGCGCACCAAGAACTATCAACATGTGCGCTTTAATCAACGAAATCCTCGCCCGCATCAACTGCTGTCTCTGTAAAAAAAATAAGCGGAGAATGAGTCGCTAGCTCAGTGAGTAATAACACTTAACCACAACCATTTTTATTGGGGACAGGTCAGAAAACATGCTAGTATCTCAAACAGCAAATAACATAAAAATGCCCTTTCAGAAACAATAAATAATTTTTTCAGTCTCATCATGCTTTTGTTGTAGTATAATACAATTAATAGTTCAGTAATAAGCTCGATAACCACTATATAATATCAGTATTCACATTTGGGAGGTTTCAATGAACGGATTATGTAATTGGTATAACTGTGGACTTCTTCGCAAAAAGTTAAATATAACGGTAGTCCTACTCGAGGGAAACCGGTAACGGTATGCTAGTTCTACCTTCCCACTAGCGAGGGATATAACTGTACTCTGTAATCGGTAAATACAGGGTGCACCAGGTCTAACGAACCCGTCTTTAGCTACGGGATCCTTCAAAGTCTACTACCATTTATACTTGTCTCTGTATCCGTATGTACTCATAGGAAAATATTTAAAACAATATAGGGCATTTAGGTTCTTATCAAATCGTGTAATTTCATTTCTATAACAGTAAATTCAAGTAACGGTAAAGCATATCTAGTGACAACAAGAATATTTAAAACAACAGTAATCATGTCAAATAACTATTTCGGTATCATATCGAGTAAAAGACTTATCCCACATGCAATTCAAAATAGTCGGTAACATACTCATATTAAAATCATGTGTAAATCATGCAAGTTGTGAAAACCAAAATTGTAGTAAGATTATTACTCACCGTACTCGTGCCGAAATACCAAATGCTTCCCCTCGAGCAATTCGTACAAATTCCTCCAATCAATCTATAATTACATAATATCGATCTCACGTTAATTTTTTTATTTAGATAATTCATAGCTAATTTCGAATACCCAATCATCGGGGTTCATGTTTGAGTCTTAATTTGTGGATTTATATTTAATCATAGAACTAGTCCATAATTCTATCAATTTCAAACTATTTAGTATAATTTATTCCTCTAAAATTAGATCTATCAGTGCTTAAACCAAACCTTTATAGCCTTGTTATCTCCATAGTAATTGTATATTTATTTTTATATAAGAGAAAGTTGATATTGAATTCTTTTGTACTACATGAAATTACATAGATACAGTGAAATAATTAAACAGATGAGGAGAAGAAGGTTAACCTTTTGAGTCGAATGAGAGCTTAAATACTTTTAATTTCAACTCTCAATTATTCTTAAGGCCTTTGCCCAAAGCTTTCTTCTTCTTCTTCTTCTTCTTCTTCTTCTTCTTCTTCTTCTTCTTCTTCTTCTTCTTCTTCTTCTTCTTCTTCTTCTTCTTCTTCTTCTTTCTGCTTGTTTTTCTGTTTTGCCGTTTCGAAGCTTTCTACTTCGTTTTCCTAAGAAGGGTGCCTGTTAACCCTTTTCAACTCTTTTGTTGGCAGAAGTTGTAATGGACCCTTTTGGTCCTTTATTTTAAATTCCTCTTTTTTTTTCCTTTTTTTGTTTTGTTTATTTAGGTAGTTCTTTTTTTTATTTATATTTATATTTTTATTTTTTATAGTTAGTTTCTTCTTCTTCTTATTATTATTATGCTAATGACCAATACACCCTAATAAAATATAGGGTATTACATCTTCCCCACCTTATGAAATTCGGTCTCCCAATTTAACTCAAGTACATACCTGTAGACTGAAACAAATGGAGGTACTTCGCTTGCATATTTTTTTCTACTTTCAAAGTGGCTTCTTCAACTGTATGATTTCTCCATAAGACTTTCACGAACACGATTTCTTTTGAGCGTAGTTTTCTTATTTGTCTATCAACAATAGCCATTGGCTCATCTTCGTAAGACAACTTCTCATCGAGCGGTATAGTCGGTGCTTCAATCACCTGAGATGAGTCTGATATACATTTTCTTAGCATTGAGACGTGAAACACTGGATGAATAAAGGACAACTCAGGAGGAAAAGCCAAACGATAAGCCACCGCTCCCACTCGGTCTAGTATCTCATACGGTCCTATAAACCTGGGGCTCAACTTGCCTCTTTTCCCAAACCGCATCACACCTTTCATAGGAGAGACTCGTAGGAACACTTTGTCCCCAATTGTGAACACTAAATCTCTTCTTCTCTTATCAGCATAAGACTTTTGTCTACTTTGAGCTGTAAGCAATCTCTATCTGATCAATTGGACCTTGTCCATAGCTTCTTGTACTAGGTCGAGTCCCAATAAGTTAGTCTCACCAGCTTCAAACCATCCGATAGGAGAACGACATTTTCTACCATACAATGCTTCGTACGGTGCCATTGGAATACTAGAATGGAAGCTATTGTTGTAAACAAATTCAGCCAAAGGTAGATAAGTGTCCCAACTACCTCCAAACTCAAGAATACAAGCTCTCAACATATCCTCCAAGATCTGTATAGTACGTTCAGACTGCCCGTGTATCTATGGATGAAATGTAGTACTAAGATCTACTCGTTTACCCAATGCTTCTTGAAAAGATTCCCAAAATCGTGAAGTGAACTGTGATCCTCTATCAGAGATGATGGATACTGGAACTTCGTGAAGTCAGACAATTTCGTTCATAAATATCTGTGCATACCTCACTCCACCATATGTAGTCTTCACTGGCAAAAAGTGTGTTGATTTCGTCAGTCCATCTACAATCACCCGTATAGAGTCATAACATCTAAGAGTTCGTGGTAGACCGATGACAAAATCTATAGTAATTCTTTCCCATTTCCACTCTAGAATCTCAATTTGTTGTAGTAGTCCTGCGGGTTACTGATGCTCAGCCTTGACCTGCTGACAAGTCAAACAACTAGAAACAATGTTAGCAACATCTTTCTTCATACCTTCCCACCAATAAAATTGCTTCAGGTCATGGTACATTTTTGTGGATCCAGGATGTATGGTGTATTTAGAGTTGTGGGCTTCTTTAAGAATAGAATGTCTCAACCCATATACGTCTGCTACACATAGCCTGTCCCCCATTCGAAGCACACCATCACTTTCAACAATCATATCTTTGCTTTTACCCGCTAAGGTCTCATCTCTGTATTTGCATAATCATCCATCCTCATATTGGTGGCCTTAATACGCTCAACTAATGAAGACTTGACCTGCGCACAAGACAATAATGCCTCTGAATTTCCGACACTAATCTGATACCTGTATCTTCTAGTCTCTGAATATCTTTGGCCAAAAGTCTCTTTGCAGGGGCTATATGTGCCAAACTCCCTATAGATTTTCTACTCAATGCATCAGCCACCACATTGGCTTTTACAGGATGATACAAAATAGAACAATTATAGTCTTTGCATCCAATGACGCTGCCAAAGATTTAGATCTCTCTGCTGAAAGATATAATTCAGACTTTTATGGTCTGTATAAATCTCACAAGTTTCGCCATATAGATAATGTCTCCAAATGTTTAGAGCAAATACCACTGCAGCCATCTCCAAATCATGTGTAGGGTAGTTTTGCTCGTGCTTTTTCAATTGTATCAAAGCATAAGCAATAATGTGACCATTTTGCATGAGAAAACATCCTAATCCCACCCTCGAGGCATTACAAAATACTGAAAATTCTCCAGAACCTGATGGTAAAGCTAATATTGGTGTAGTTGTCAAACACGTTTTGAGTTTCTGAAAGCTTTGCTCACATTCCTCCGTCCACTAAAACTTTGTATTTTTCTATGTTAGCTTGGTCAATGGCGCTGCTATTCTGGAGAATTCCTGCACAAAACGCCTATAATAACCTGCTAAGCCTAAAAAGCTATGAATTTCTGTAGGAGAAGTAGGCCTGGGCCATTTCAGCACAGCTTCTGTCTTCTTAGGATCTACCATAATTCCATCTTTGGAAACAACATGCCCTAGAAATAATACCTAGTCTAGCTAAAATTTGCACTTCGACAACTTAGCATAAAGCCACTGTTCTCGCAATGTCTGCAATACAGTCCTGAGATGATCCTCGTGTTCTCCTTGGCTACGAGAATATATCAGGATATCATCAATAAATACTATTACAAATCTATCCAGAAACAGCTTGAACACCCTATTCATTAAATCCATAAATGCCGTTGGAGCATTAGTTAGTCCGAAAGGCATCACAAGAAACTCATAGTGTCCGTATCGAGTTCTGAAAGCAGTCTTAGAAATATCTTCGTCTTTGATTCTAAGTTGATGATAACCAGAACAGAGGTCAATCTTTGAAAAGTGGGCAGCTCCTTGTAAACTGATCAAACATGCCATCTATACGAGGCAAAAGATATTTATTGCATATTGTTATCTTGTTCAACTGCCTATAGTCAATGCACATTCTTAGGGATCCGTCTTTCTTCTTTACGAACAGTACTGATGCACCCCATAGTGATACACTAGGTCTAATAAAACCTTTATCTAACAAATCCTGTAACTATTGTTGTAGCTCCCTCAACTCTGTCGGTGCCATTCGATATAGGGGTGTCGATATGGGCTGCGTTTCAAGTAGCAAATCAATACCAAAGTCTATTTCTCGTACTGGAGGCAATCCTGGTAAATCTTCAGGAAATACATCAGAAAATTCACTCACTACTGATACATTTTCTATACTAACTGTTTCCTTTCTTGTGTCATTTACAATATCTAAGAGACCCAAGCAACCTTTCTTCAGAAGTCGTTGAGCCTTCATAAAAGATATAATTTTTCAAGTCTCTGGAACCTGACTCCCTCTTAGAATAAAACTGGGCTCATTTGGTATCTCAAACTTTACTATCTTTGTATGACAATTGACTATAGCATAGCAAGAAGATAACCAATCCATTCCCATCAGCATGTCAAAGTCAATCATATCAAGTACAATAAGGTCAGCTAGAGTATCTCTATCCTCAACCCGAATCTGACAAGCATGATACACGTATTCGGCTAACAGAGACTCTCCAACAGGAGTAGCAACTAGAAAAGGATCATTCAATAGCTCAGACTATCTACTAAACCTTAAAGCAAAGTACGAGGACTCATAGGAGGGAGTAGATCCTGGATCAATCAACGCAAGTGCATCAAATGAACAGACAGAAAGAATACCTGTAACTACAACATTCGAGGCCTGAGCATCCTATCTAGTAAATGTGAAAACTCTCGCCTGACCTCCACCAGCATTCCCTTGTCCTTGATTCATAGTAGCACGGTCTCTAGCACCTCGACCTCTATTTCCTGTACCTATAGCACCTGAAGTATTACGAGCAGTCTGAGTCGGTGCAACTGACTAAATAGAAGCCTGTTGAAATTCGGAGGCTGAGGGAAATCCCTCAAGTGATGTCCCAACTGGCCACACCGAAAGCACTCTCCAGTTAGAACACGACATTGGCTCAAATGTGATCTACCACAGGTCTGGCAAACTGGAGTAGTGGCATATATATGCCCAGAATTACAATGTCCAGAAGATGATTGACCCCTATTACCTTGTCTGTATTGTGATCTGTATGTGGACTGTGAAGATATGTGTGTCCCTATCTGAGAACCCTGTTGTTGTTGTTGTCCCTGATTACCCACTCTTCTATTTTCACTAAAACCGCCACTAAAAGCCCCTCCTGTCTTAGCCTTCTTACGTAAATCACTAGCTGCACGCTCATTACGTCCCTTATTTTCAATATTTCTAGCAAGGTCAACTACATTAGAGTAGGATAAAGTCTTCATCTGTGGGGCTACTACAGTGTATAGATCTCTGACCTCGAGCTTCTTCGGTAGGCACTAAATAAGGAGCATATATAGCCAACTTATAAAACTTAGTGTTATATGTTGACACATCCATATCTGGAGTCTGAACCAATCTTTCAAAGTCTCTAGCATATTTTTGCATTAGGCTGTCGGGAAGGAAATGATTCTTGAACAACTTAGTGAACTCGTCCCATGTCAGTGGTGCTGCTCTTGCTGGCCTTCCTAGCAATACAGTTTCATGCCATGTGTTGGCCATATCCTCTAGTTTGTATGTTGCGAGCTCCACGACTCTCTCACTAGAACATCCAAGAACAATGCCTTGAGTGTCCCATCCAAAAAATTTGAGGATCTGCTGAATTATCGGAACCTGTGAATTTTGGTGATTTCAATTTCAGGAACTCTTGTAGTGATACTTTCTTATTCCCGAAAATCTGGGTCTGTGCAGGTGCTTGTGTCCGTAAAGTAGCATGAGGAGCTGAACTTCCTCCCTGAGTAGGCACAAATGCCTCTAACATATTCAATAACCTTGCCACTACATCTGCAGGTAAGACAACATTAGGTACAACATTTGGCATTGGTGGTAGAGCATTCTGAACTCCATGCCTTTGCACTTGATCTGGCATAACAATTTGGGGTTGACCCATGTTCCCAACTTCAAATTGAGGAGCAGTCTGTCTTTTAGTTTGATGAACCCTAACTTGATCGCCACCCCGGTAGTACCACGTCCAGCAGATGAGGGTATGCGTGTCCTATCCATCTGCAAAAGAAATATTCCAAAGTCAATTTCAAGTTATCTCAATGCATGATCAAAGAATGAAAGAAGGGAAAACATTCGTAAATGTTCAGTAGCCTCAAGATCATAAGTATGGGCGCCTACATACCCATTAACAAGACTCTACTAAACATTGCTCCATGACTCGGGACTTAAAGCCTAAGCTCTGATACCAACTTTGTCACGACCCAATTTAGGATCGTGACAGGCGCTTAGGAGCAAATGCTCCCAAGTAAGCCTCATCGATATTTTACAGAAAATCGAACAGAGTTTCTCCTATTTTTGGACTATCCCAAAAAATTTCCCTGTCTCAAATCAGCAACCAAACATCTTAATAGAAATTCAATTGACAACGACTTTATCAATTAACCAAAATAAATATCTACCTTTAATAGTCCACCCACTAACAACTAGAAATACTACTTTATCTCGAAATTTGATAAGAATGGGCGATATTCAACATAAGTCTATAATAACAAAGAAATACTCAAGACACCAAAAGAATGATCATGGAGAGACTCTAAGAGTTCAAAGAAAAGAGTATAACAATAAATAAAATCTCCGTCCACGCGAACAAGTGCGAGGCTCACCAAGTATCAACCTGTGCGCTCTAATCAACGAAATTCTCGCCCGAGTCAACTGATGTCTCTATAAAAAAATTAGCGGAGAATGAGTCGCTAGCTCAGTGAGTAATAACACTTAACCACAACCGTTTTTATTGGGGACAGGTCAGAAAACATGCTAGTATCTCAAACAGAAAATAACATAAAAATGTCATTTCAGAAACAATAAATAATTTTCAGTCTCATCATGCTTTTGTTGTAGTATAATACAATTAATAGTTCAGTAATAAGCTCGATAACCACTGTATAATATTAATATTCACATTTGGAAGGTTTTAATGAACGGATCATGTAATCGGTATAACTGTGGACTTCTTTGAAAGATGTCAAATATAACGGTAGTCCCTACTCGAGGGAAATCGGTTACGGTATGCTAGTTCTACCTTCCCACTAGCGAGGGCTATAACTTTACTCTGTAATCGGTAAATACAAGGTGCACCAGGTCTAACGAACCCGCCGTTAGCTACGAGATCCTTCAAAGTCTACTCCCATTTATACTTGTCTCTGTATCCGTATACACTCGTAGGAAAATATTTTAAAACAATATAGGGCATTTAGGTTCTTATCAACCCATTCAATTTCATTTCGATACAGTAAATTCAAGTAACGGTAAAACATATCTAATGACAAAAAGAATATTTAAAACAACGGTAATCACGTCAAATAACTATTTCGGTATCATATCGAGTAAAAGACTTGTCCCACATGCAATTCAAAATAGTCGGTAACATATTCATATTAAAATCATGTGTAAATCATGCAAGCTGTGAAAACCCAAATTGCGGTAAGATTACTACTCACGGTACTCGTACTGAAATACCAAATGCTTCACCTCGAGCAATTCGTACAAATTCCTCCAATCAATCTATAATTACATAATATCGATCTCACGTTAATTTTCTTATTTAGGCTAATTCATAGCTAATTTTGAATACCCAATCATCGGGGTTCATGTTTGAGTCTTAATTTGTGGATTTATATTTAATCATAGAACTAGTCCATAATTCTATCAACTTCAAACTATTTAGTATAATTTATTCCTCCAAAATTAGATCTATCAGTGCTTAAACCAAACCTTTATAGCCTTGTTATCTCCATAGTAATTGTATATTTATTTTTATATAAGAGAAAGTTGATATTGAATTCTTTTGTACTACATGAAATTGCATAGATGCAGTGAAATGATTCAACAGATGAGGAGAAGAAGGTTAACCTCTTGAGTCGAAGGAGAGCTTAAGTACTTTCAATTTCAACTCCCAATTCTTCTTAAGGCCTTTGCCCAAAGCTTTCTTCTTCTTCTTCTTCTTCTTCTTCTTCTTCTTCTTCTTCTTCTTCTCTTTTCCCCCTTTTTTTTTTCTGCTCGTTTTTCTATTTTGCCATTTCGAAGCTTTCTACTTCGTTTTCTTAAGAAGGGTGGCTGTTAACCCTTTTCAACTCTTTTATTGGCAGAAGTTGTAATGGGCGCTTTTGGTCCTTTATTTTAAATTCCTTTTTTTTCCTTTTTTTATTTTGTTTATTTAGGTAGTTTTTATTTTTTATTTTTTATAGTTAGTTTCTTCTTCTTCTTCTTCTTCGTCTTCTTCTTCTTCTTCTTCTTCTTATTATTATTATTATTATTATTATTATTATTATTATTATTATTATTATTATTATTATGCTAATGACCAATACACCCTAATAAAATATAGGGTATTACAAGGAGGCTCCCATTTATAGAGAAGGCGACAGCGTGATCGACAACGCCATTATTGTCCTCG